AATAAAAATATATTATTACAAATTCATTATATTTATTTGAACAAATTTTATTATAAAATAAATAAAAAGTTTTCACGTTAGAAGAAAGATAATAGTTAGCTTGTCTATTACTTTTATTATTATTAAAATTATTATTAATATTATTACTACTTAGTTAGTTTGTCTATTACTTTTAGTTTGTCTATAACTTTTATTTTTATAAGTGATCTATAAATAAAATTATTAAAACTATTAAAGCCTTCATACCCAGCTAACAATTAACGTTCTTAGAACGTTACCAAAACGTTCGTTTAGGTTTGAATAACGTACGCTCTAAACGTTCTTTGAACCAACTTTTGTGAACTCCGATTTACAGTTCTTGAACGCTCGCTGTGAACGTTCAAACAACAAACAACGAATGTTGATTTAACGTTCGCTGCAAACGTTACTTTGATAGCTCTTGAACGTCCACCCTAGCTAAAAATTAACGTTCAAAAAACGTTATCATAACATTCGTTTAGGTTTGCATTACGTTCGCTGCAAACGTATTTTGAACAAATTTTTGTGAACTCCGATTTACAGTTTTTTAACGTTCGCTGAATGTTCAAATAACAAACAGCGAACGTTTACTGGAAACGTTACTTTGATAGCTCTTAAACGTCCACCCTAAACGTGTTACGAACACGGACGTTTACCCAACATTTTTTTTTCTTTCCAATGTGTAGATTTAAACATACTTTCTGTTTAAACTTTTTTTTTTTAATGTTGATTTAGGTGCTCCAAGAAGTCCCTACGGTCTTATCACAAAACACCGCGGAAGAGCATTTAATAGGAAGTTCACGCCTCCTTCCCAACCGAAGTCGCAAAACTTGCCCAGAGGTGAGGTTTGAACCACGGATCTTACGATTCTGAGGCAAGTGCGCTACCACTGCGCCACGGCTGCTAAACAACTTACATTTGCTAGTATTTGTAATGTAATGCTTTTTTGAATTTACAAAACCTATTTTTACTTAATAAATACAAATTCACCATGTTTTATAGCTGAATTACACCAAATGAAGCTTATACAAAAACCCACGATTTAACTATTACATTTATGATTTAATATACATTTCGACCAAATCCACACAATTAGCTGAGTTGATTACAATTAAGAAAAATAATACTTCTTGCGATGAAAAAGTTGATTTATTAGTAGGGTAAAGTGAGGTTAACTGGGTACAGGTGTTAACTGGGCCACTGGCGGTTCATACTTCTGCAGTTTGAATACACCGCTTTTATTGATGTTTCCCAAACGATCCACTAGGCGGCACTACTTGCTGCTGATTTTAAATGCAAATGGCAGCCATTTTAAAATTTTATTAAGCATTTGTTGTTCTTGGAAGTCACATGTATTGTTTGACTGCAGTGTTAGAAAGTTGATAGAATCTGTGTTTATCAAGTTTAGTGAGTTTTAATAACTGATTTCTGAACTTTAATATAGTGCCTATTTGAATAATTATCACAAATTACGCAAATATTTAAAATACTGGTAAGTTTTTGTAAAAATATGAATTTTGATATAGTGGGGTTAAGTGGGCCGGCTATTCATGTGGTTATATGGGACGGCCCACTAAACCCCACCAATGAAAAATTAATTTAATATAATCATTTAATTAACATTTATATCAACTAATTATGTTTTTTTTTTATTCCAGTTTATAAATAAATTAAATTAAAATGCCCCGTCAACGTCAACGTACCACAACGCACAGATCGTATTCCATTGATCCTTAAAAAACGGCAACTGAAAAAATTATAAAAGGAGAACTATCAATAAGAAAAGCAGCGGCCAGTCATCAGATACCAAAAAATACATTAGCCAGGTATGTGCTCAAAGTTAAAAATACACCTGATGGAGTTAAGGTCAATTTTCGACCATCAAATGAACATTTACTCGTTTTCAACTCAAGTGAAGAATTGCTATTGAAAAAATATATTCAAGATGCAGTCAACATGCATCATGGACTTTCATTTACCCAAGTTTGTTGCTTAGCTTTTGAGTTTGCCATAGCAAATAGCAAAAACGTGAATTGTAATTGGACAGAAGAAAAAATGGCTGGAATAGAATGGCTGCATTCATTTATGAGACGACAGAGTTTGGCGCTAAGAACCCCCGAACAAACTAGTCTTAGCCGTTGCACTAGTTTCAATAAAACTAATGTTGGAGCATTTTTTTCAAATTTAGAAGGTGTTATATATTATTAAAAGTTTTGGCTTTAAAGGAGCAAAAGCAAGTTGGCCAGGCAACATAAGCTGAACGAGGTGTCTTGGTTACAGCATGTTGTATTGTTGGAGCTACAGGAACTGCAATACCTCCATATTTGCTGTTTCCCAGAGTGTTTTTTAAGGAACACATGATTAAAGGCGCACCTGTTGGAACAAAAGGTGCAGCAACAAAATCTGGATGGATGATTTCAGATATTTTTATTGATGTCCTCAAACATTTTGTCGATCACGTAAGACCTACAACAGACAGTCCAAAGTTGATATTATTAGACAACCACGAGAGCCACTTAAGTATTGCTGCGTTGAATTATGCAAAGACTAATGGCATAATGTTGCTGACCTTCCCTCCGCACTGCAGCCATAAGTTGCAGCCTCTGGATGTGAGCGTATTCGGTTCCTTAAAAAAACACTACAACAGAGCCTCTAATGATTGGATGACAAACCATCCTGCGACTCCAATCACAATTTATGACATAGGAGAATTACTGGGGACTGCTTTTCCGTTAGCATTTACGCCAAGGAATATTTCCCAAGGGTTCAAAGCAGCAGGAATCTGTCCATTTGATTCCCAAATATTTACAAAGGAAGATTTTTTAGCTGCAACAGTTACAGATAGACCAGATCCAACTGTTTCAGATACAACCATTGAATCGACAACATTACCCTCAACATCAGTATCAACCACCATAGAAATACCAACTTCACTAACTGACTGTCAACTTATTTCTCCGGAACAAATACGACCATTCCCTAAAGCCGGAATGCGTAAAAATAACAGAAAACCAAGGCAGAAAGGAAAGTCTGCTGTTTTAACGGATACTCCAGTCAAACGGCAATTGGAAGAAGCTGCACAAATGCGTGCAAATAAATCTAAGCCTAAGTCCATTGCCCCAAGAAAAGAAAAGCGTAAAATATTAATAGAGTCCAGTGATGAAGGATCATCAGAAGTAGAGTATGCCGATTCTTCATTGGATATTTCAGAATTATCTTCTGGAGAAGATACGGATGATTTTAACCAGCTCATAACGGTCGATGATTTCGTGCTTGCTATGGTGCACGGAGCTAAGAAAAAGTTTAGCAGGCACTATATTGCCAAAATAATTTCGAAAACGCAAGATGGTTTCAGCGTTAAGTGGCTGAAAAATCAAAATAGGACAACAAACTTTTATATTACAGATGAGGAGCTGACCTTCGTTCCTGCATCCGATATTGTTCGAAAATTGCCAACTCCTCTATTTCACGGAGAAACGGGACGATTCGCCAATTTATATTCCTTTCAATTCGATTTTTCCGATTATTCCATTGTTATGTAAACATAGTGTTTTATTAATGTTTAATAGTTGAAATATTCATACACAATTTTATCACATCGAAGGTGTATTTTTTCACTAATTTGCGTTTTTTTTATTGTATAATTTTATTGTTATCACGTTTATTTTTATTCTTTCTCAACTAAATATATTATCAAAATAAAAACTAATATTATTGTAGTTTCACTAGTATGTACCCAGTCAACCCCATAGGGTGGCCCAGTTAAACCCGTCACTGTGGTTAACTGGGCCACGGGACACGTGTCTAAAAAATGCAATATTTACAAGGCCACAGCATATATTAACTAATTCATTTGAATTTATTAGATGGAATATTAATATTCTCATAGTTATGAACGGAAAAAATATTGAAAAGCAGTAATTTGTTACAATTACATCACCCAAAAAAAAACTGTACCCAGTTAACCTCACTTTACCCTACTAGTTAGCGCCCTATAGGGCATAAATAACAATTTACATCAATTTAAACTAAATTTTTACAAAACAGCATCAACAACATAAAAAATAAATACATGTTATTCCGGGGGAAAAGTCCCCGTTGATGTTCATATATAAGTCCAGCTATTTCCACTAAAAAAATACAATACATCATAATAAATAAAAACAATTTTTTTTTTTTTTAAATTTTAATTCACCTCCTCAAGGCCGAGAAGGCCACTACAGACGAGGAGGCTACTTATTTGTGGCTATAACCCTCTCTCAACTCTTTAACTCCGAAACACGAACCTTGACGAACAAGGCCGCTGCGCGGAGAAACGAGTTGAGCGCGGTATTACCAGGGACGTGGAGGGGAACGAACTCGGAACCACTCGTTTATGAAGCGAGCGCTCTACCACTATACCACTACCGCATACAATTCCAAATTAAAAACAATTCCAAATTAAAAACAAATGTTTTTTGTGAATTTGATAAACAAACTAGTTTTATTTATGAATTATCTATACACAAAAAATGACATTAGTTCACAATAATGTGTTTTAGGGACAGCATAATTAACTTTACTTTTTAACCGGTCCCTATTATTTTGAAAAAAATAATAATTTAAAAGTATCATGTTGGACCTTCAAAGTAGTGAAATTGTATCAAAATTTCAATTAAATAATCATTTAATAATACAACTATTGTTTTAGATTTAATTAAATAAAAACTATAGTTTTTTAACCAAAAATAAAAGTGCAGTTTTACTAGTTTTGAATAAAAAATTAATTTTTATAAAAATATTTTTTTTAAACGAATATTATTGCTGAAATTTATATATTCTTTTTGCTATATTATTTTGAGTACCAGGTTGACCTTCTTTAAAAGAACTTTTTTTTTAATAAAAGGACACCGTTGAAATGTTAAGTTAATTAAGCTGTTACCTAACATAGGAATAATGCTTTGAAATTTGAAGGAATTATTTTTTTGTCAATTAACAACATTTAAACATCTAGCCACTTAATAATTAAAAAAAAACTTTTTGATCTGGTCATATAACATATAGTATAACACGCTAACCCGAACTTTCTTCAAAATGTCGCTGCAACACATCTTTATTTTGAATATTTGCTGTAAGTTTTGTCTAAATAAATACAACAACATTTTTTTATTATAAAGACTAAATGATTAACACTATGATATGCATTACTAGTAAAAATTTACTTAGATGTATCTAAGAATGAGCTTTACAGGTAGCAAAAAAAAAATTTTTTTAATGTACCTCTTAGTTAACTCCGCCTGGTTGATTAGAAGCATGCTTTAACACCTCTCTAACTTCTTCCGTTATCTTTTCGCATCCTTGATGATCTTTTTACAAGCATCTAATTAAAGTTTAAAACCATATATTCACAATAGTTAATAAAAGTATTAAAAATGTTAACTGCACAACTAATTGCCATTAAAAGGTATATAGTACATTACTGATTGTTTTTAATGATAATTGAGCATTTCATATATCACATTAAAAAAAAGTATATATTAAACTTTTTAACATTATGGTTGAATCCTAAAAGTAAGTTATATAAGAACTACAAATTACAATTTTTCATAAGGGTTTGTCTATAAAGTAGCTACACACTTTTTTACAGAAAGAGAAATCTCAATTTAAAAAATTTACTGAAATAAATTTTATTTTTGGAGCAAAATTATTTGTTGTGGTTTCTCATTCTGTAAAAAAGTGCATACTTACTTTATGGAATTGACCTAATAAGTACCAAATTATTTAAAGTTTCTTGTAAAAAACAGTAATACTTTTGTTCTCGTAGCTTTTGTAATTGTGCAAAAAGTATCAACTAAAGTATTGTAACTTCTACTAACAATTTTCAATATGCATGCTGCCAGTTGATGAAATATCTTCCGGATTCACTTTACGGATGCAGATGGTGGGTCAATAACATCTGCAACAGCTGACACAAAAACAGCTGCACTTTCTGCATGTTGGTGCTATTTACTTTCATCTGTACCTGACTATTCATTGTAACTATTATATGAAAATATAATATAAATGAACTAGTTATTTCTTTCAAAGCAACTAATTATTTTAACATAAAAATATATTACAAAAAACAAGTGTAACTTATTTAAGTAAAGAAGTAGTGTACCTATATATAAACATGACTATTTTTTGTACTTGTTAGAGCCACCATGTCGACAGTCGATTAGTTTACAAGTATAAATAGTAGTCAGGTTTATAACAATATGTTTATAAATTTTATATAATATGTATATAAAATTTATTTGTAACATGCCATATAAAAATCTTTTTAAAAACTTTCTAATAATTACTTGGCAGAGTAAGCATCTATCAAATGACTGTTTTCCTTTTCGGCCGTTGAATCTAAAAAATGGTCAAACTTGATGAGTTGCTGCTGTAATAATGCGTCAAATTGCATCTTTACAATTACAGCCACCAAGTCTGACAAAATAATTTAAAAATCTAAAAAAGCAACTTGAAACTGTATTTATAAACTAATAATATGTTTATAGATTTTATATAATATTTATATAAGTTATGTAAATGTTAAACTATACATATTTTCTTTAGAAATTTGAAACATATTACTGCAAATGTTAAACTTAAAGGTAATACAATCTTTAATTGAGGCTATGATACTGCTCAAAATCTTTTTTCTTTAGTCCGTCATTAAGATTTAAACTAAGTATAAATAACAGTTATCAACCACAACTACAACAACAACAACAACAATATATTTACCAGTAAATATTATACACTTTATCTTAAATAATATAATATTGACTGGAAGGCTCAATTTCATATAACCTGGTTAAAACATGAATAATAACCTTGTAAACAAAAATAACCTTGTAAACTCAAGAAGGACAAGGATGAGATATAAACATAGATGAAAAAACAAAGAAAAAAAGTTGAAATATATAAATACAGTTCTATCTTAACTTAATTTATTTTAATTTGCTTTAATTCATTGAGCATTCTCCTGAAGATATATGTAAACCAAAATACATATATAAATATATATAATATATACATTATATGTATATAATATTTTAATATATTATATATATATACATATATATATATTAATATATATATATATATATATATATATATATATATATATATATATATATATATATATATATATATATATATATATATATATATATATATATATATATATATGTATATATATATTCTATATATATATAATATATAAATAATATATATATATATATATATATATATATATATATATATATATATATATATATATATATGTATATATATACTCTATATATATATATAATATATATATAATATATATATATATATATATATATATATATATATATATATATATATATATATATATATATATATATATATATATTATATATATTTAGACTTTAATAATATTATAAATAATTATATTACTTATATTTATATTTATATTGTTAATTATTAGCTTGGATATCATTTATATTGACAATATATTTAAAAACTGAATATTTGCGCAATTGTTATTAGCAAAAAGTCTTTGCAAAATAATACTTTTTGTTAATAACAAAAATTGTTATCAACAAAAAGTCTTTTTGTTTATTGTAAATACTTTGATTTTATGTTTTTCTGTAAATACTTTGATTCTATGTTTTATTTATTTTTTGCATAGAGCTAATTTTTAAAAGGTTGATAAGTTTTGAAGCTTTAATGCAATATAATAAGTTGTGACGTTTTTGTTCTCAACAAAAGTAATTTAATAAAACCTCATATAAATTAAAGATATCAAATAGTTTCTTAACCTCTTATTCTTTACCTAAGAATTGGCTTAAATGTAGAAATAAACACAGACTAATAATTACAGTGCAGCTTTAGCTCATTCATCTAGTTAAAAGACTCAAAGAATCATATTGCATATTAAAAGTGCATCATTACTAAGTGTAAGGAATCTCAAAATTAAACGCAAAATAAAGCAGATTAACTTAAAACACTAAAATCTATCAACAACTGTCCAAAAATTACCCTTAAAAAAACATAAAACTACAATATATTTGTATAGGACAAAACAGTAAGGGCATACATTTGTTTAAAAATATTTTACAAAAAATATTTTTAAACAAATGTTTTGTTTACAAAAACAAATTAGATTGTTTCTTATAAGAGATCATAAGAATAGGCATTAGTGATCAACTTGATAAACATAAACTGATAAAAGTTTGCCTTAATTTACATAAATAATAATATTTGTAGATATTATTATCTACTAAATAATAATTTATATAAAAAACTAACCTTTATATGTCTCTTTTTTATATATGTGGTGTTGATATATTTGTCCTGGCTTTTAGTTTATGACTCTAAATTTAAACATCAGCTCTTGAAGTTTAACTATCTTATCATTTCTAAAACTATCAACGGTAAACTCACCATACCTAATCAAAATAAAAGCACATAATTAATTTGCATCTTTTTTTTAATTTTATGAATAATTTTTATTTAAACAAAAAGACAATCTTTTGCTTGAAATGTAATGTATAAATATCAAAAAAGAAATTAAAATGAAATAATATCAATAATTATGAAAGTCTATTTTTTATCAGATAACTTGTAGTGCAAAAATAATTTTTATGGAAGATTTTAAACCTATTTGTCGCACTGTAACTATTACTCTCAGCTAGAATACCAAATAAATAATTAATTTTAAACTATATACAATAAGTTTTTTTTATTTATTTAATCTAATAAAGTTTATTAGATTAAATAAATAAATAAATAATATTGTATATACTTTAAAATTATTTATTTATTTGGTATTCTAGCTGAGAGTAATAGTTACAGTGCACAGTGGGCCAGTGGGTGGACAAAACTAAAAAAATTTATGTCTGAAAACTGAAATTCTTTTTAAAAAGTTTTTACTTAGATACATTGAGGACCTTAAAAATAATTACAATAAGTTAAAAAAATATATATTCTCAACAAAAACTCATTTCAAGTAAAATTTTTGCAAAAAAAAAAATGGCGATAAAGTGAGAAAATGTAGTTTTTAAAAAAACAAAAGTGTGTAATAAATTTTTAGTATATTGGTTAACTGTTTTTATTAACATATCAAATAATTGTTAATATATAAAATTTATAAAAAAAAAAAGTTAAAAAAAAATTTTAAACCAGTTTTAGATATATTTTTTGGTAAAAATTGGACTTTTTTTTTAATTTTTTTTGAAAAGACAACAAGGAAAAATTTGTGCTCTATTTTGCCTTTATCTCTTATACATATTTTGAAGGCTATATGTATATGTTTTTATAACATTATTAATTTAGCTGCTAGTATCTGCTACTTTTTTTAATACTTATAATACTTTTTAATACTTATACTTTATAAATTCAAAGATGTTTCTTTTTCAAGTTTCTTTTGTCGCAAAATAACAAGTATTTTTATATATATATATATATATATATATATATATATATATATATATATATATATATATATATATATATATATATATATATATATATATATATATATATATATATATGTTAATACAACTTTTTAATGTTTATATTATTTTAGTCTAATAATATTATTATTAGTAATATGTCAACCATCACAAGATATCAAATTCATCAATTCATAAGACAGCATGGTTTATCTATGTCTAATGAAAAAGACAAACTTTATGTTTACAATTTTATTCGTGAATACTGTTCTGAATTTGATGCTCAGTTTGTAACCTTTTTGTCCAAGTATCTTAAACGTTGGTCTTTAAGTAAAAGAATTGATGAAAACTTTATGAAACATAATTCAGTATGGCTTCAAAAAGACTTTATTAAGTCATTTAAAAATCAGGATAATAAAACTGAATCTATAGTTAGTGGTCGACCTGTAAAATTATTTGATGATTCATCAAATAAGACAAAGAGTCGTAAAGTAGCAGCTATGGACTTATTAACTTGTTCATCAAATGAACTGTTGTATGCTAGTAGTTGTAATCTTTTTAAAGATAGCAGAAGAAAGAATGCAAAAGTAGTTCGAAGTTTATCTATTAAGCAACCTTTTGATACAGAACATACTCAAAACACTCTAAATGAAGCTCTAGCACTCATATTAGATATTGATATGAGCAAATCTGATTACCAACGCTTGAGAAATAATGCTTTGAGCAAAGGTTGTAATCTCTATCCTGCTTACAATGATGTTCGTGCTGCTAAAGAACAGTGTCTTCCTGAAAAAACATTATGGACTGTAAATGATTTTTCAGCAGAAATAAACTTTCAAGCATTAGTCGATCATACAGCAATACGCCTAATACAGTTGCAGAAACAAGTTATTGATTCAATGAATGATCTTGAAAGGTTGACTTTATATTCTAAAGTTGGGTTTGATAGATCAACTAGCCAAAGGATTTATAATCAAGTAACAGTTGGGAAAGAAAACAGAGATCTTTTAGAAGAAGCTAGTTTGTTTATTTCTTGTTTTGTTCCACTTCAGTTGTTTGGATTCATTAATGATAAAAAAATAATAATTTGGTCTAATCCACATCCATCTTCAACTTTATATTGCAGACCAATAAGATTTTCATTTAAAAAAGAAACCATTGAAGTTTTGAAACAAGAGAATCAGTTTATTAACAATTCAATTGCAAATTTGTCTTTAACATTTTGTAACGATGGTGGACGACAAAGTTGCTACAGCATTATCTACAGCAACTACATCTTCTCAGTGTTGTTCTGTTTGTGGATGCAGCCCAAAAAAAATGAATGATCTTAATGCAGCTAAAAATATGCCATTGACAGAGATAGGTCTCTGCTTCGGTCTTTCAACTCTCCATGCTTGGATTAAAAGCATGGAATGTCTTCTAAAAATTAGTTATAAATTGACAGTGAAAAAGTGGGCTACAAGAACTATATCTGAAAAGAAAATTATTCAAGAACGAAAACAGAAAATCCAGATAAGGTTTCGTGATGAAGTTGGACTGATAATTGATATGCCAACATCTGGTGGCTCTGGGTCTTCAAATAATGGAAACACTGCTAGAAAATTTTTTCAGAATGCAGAGAAGTCTGCTCAAATTCTTGAACTTGATGTCAGTATGATAAAGATGTTGCATGTGATTTTGTGTACATTGTCATCTAACTTTCTAATTGATTCTTCACTATTTAGAGAATACTGCTACAAAACAGCTGAGAAGTATGTAATACTTTATCCATGGTATCATATGCCACAGAGTCTGCATCACATTCTTATTCATGGTTGGCAAGTTGTAGAGAGAATGGCTTTGCCTATTGGCATGCTCAGCGAAGAGGCACAAGAAGCTCAAAATAAAAATTTTAAGAAATTTCGAGAATCATTTTCTAGAAAGTGTTCGCGTTCCAAAACAAACGAAGATTTATTAAGGCGACTAATGTGTTCTTCTGACCCTTTGATAAGTAGTTTGAGAAAACCCCATCATCCTAAGAAAAACGCTCTTCCAAATGGAGTTTTTGATCTTCTTAAAGAGGTTCCAATTTTTGACTAAGTGTCAATGACATAGTTTTGATTTTCGTTGGTGTTTAAGATGGTGTTTACTTTATAAGTATTCAATATTTACATAATAAAATAATGAATATAAAAGTTTGTTTTCTTATATATTCGTTATAAAATTTTTTGTATCTCTAATTGCATAAAAACTTGCTTATTTTTATATGGTTGCTAAGGGTATCTAAACTACACAGTTAAAATTTAATTAACTGTTCCTGTAAACCTTTATAGTTAAGAGTGTTTTAAAAGTTTTTATTTCATTTTTTAAAGAAATTTTGAATTAAGACAAAGTTTCAAAAAAAATTACCAACTGGTTTCTAAGAGCACATAGCAGCATAGTAACACCAAAAATTGATAATTTTTTGTTTGTGTTATCATTCAAATACATAAAATAGCAATGTAGCATTAATATCAGTTTAGTTTATAACTTTGATATTTTGAGAAAGTCTTTTTATTTAGGTAACTATGCAAAATGCCTGTTGACATGAAATATAGGTATCCATGGCAACCAAATAAACAATCTAATGGTGCCATTAGATTTGTTATATGAAATATACTCAAGCTGCTAATTATGGGAAAAACCTGATAAATATTTTAAAAGTTAATAATTTTGTCCAGCTAATAATGATTTTGGCCCACTGTGCAGTGCGACAAATAGGTATAAAATCTTCCATAAAAATTATTTTTGTATAAAAACTCCATAAAAATTATTTATTATAAACTCGAGCTGTAACTCTCAGCTAGAATACGAAATATATAAAGAATTCTAAACTATAACTAACTATAATTAAAAAAATAAACAATTAAAAAATCCAAATAATCTATAATATAAAATTGAAATAATAACAAAATCACAATAATGACATTGTTGTTGTTGAATTATCGCGATACTCAATTTTTTTTCGCTTTCGCTTTTAAACTTTTTGCTTTAAACTTTTCTTTGGCTTAAAAACTTTTTTTTTGCTTTAAAACTTTATTTTTGCTTTAAAACTTTTTTTTCGCTTTAAAACTTTTTTTTCGCTTTAAAACTTTTCTTTCTTTGAAACAGCCGTGGTATTACGTCCAAACGAGAGCTTTAGATAATATAATTTTTTTGCCTCAGGTTTTTTAATATATAAAGAAACTGTTCTTTTTTATATAGATATTCAAAACCTTTTTACTACCCCTAATACTGAATCTAAAGAACACCCATTTTAAAGTCATTTAGATCATACTTCTAATTGGTTCTGACGTATATTAAATATATATATATATATATATATATATATATATATATATATATATATATATATATATATATATATATATATATATATATATATATATATATATATATATATATATATATATATATATACCATGGTACATACATGGTTAATACACCATAAACATGCTAATATGCAACAAGATTTTCCGCAAACCACTTTGCTATACCAAAATCTCATTCCAAATAGAATTTTTATTCAATCTATTTATGATACTATTAATAAACGATACCTTATTTTATTTTTTATATTTTTGCAAACATTTATTCAATTTTTCTTACACAATGTAACAAAAAAAAAAAAAATTCTGTTTATCAAAATTTTTTGATGTTTCTTAATTAATTTGAGTATGCTGAGTCTGAATATGACATTGGATTTTTTATTGCATCAATCGTTTGGTCGTAAAACCAAAAAATCAATTAAACATATAATTAATATAAATCGTTTTGCATTAGATTCTACTTTAGTCAATATAAAACATTTACTAATTCAAAAGTGTTATGTTATGTTACAAAACTTCATGTTACATCATGTTTCTTACATATATTACATAATGTTACATTATATTGTATTGTAACAGTCTCTCACAATCTCAAAAAACACTAAAAGTGAACAGTAGAACGAGGTTTTCTTTTATGAAGTTTCTCGTCATCGCGTATCAAACACCAGATGTAGTCACCCATCATAGCTGCATCCCATCTGCCCTGGTATCTTTTCTCCATTGCAAGAATATCCTGATGGAAATGTTCCCCGTGCTCTTCACTCACATCACCCAAATTTGGTCTGAAAAATTCCAAGTGTGAATGCAGGTAATGCAGCTTTATTGACATTCTGCATTTCATATCTGCGTACCGTACAATTAAGTTTTCCACTATCTCTTTGTAGTTATCACTCTTATTGTTGCCTAAAAAGCTATGAACAACATGTCTAAATGCAGTCCATGCTTCTTTTTCAACAGCAGACATTTTGTCCTCAAGCTCCTTACATGCCAACATAACTTTAATCTGTTGACCAACGAATATACCTGCTGAAATTTTTGCATCTGACACCTTTGGAAACATCTGCCAAATATGCTAGAATGCTGCACTATCTGGGTTTAATGCTTTGACAAATTGTTTAATAAGACCAAGTTTAATGTGAAGGAGTGGTAGTAAGATCTTTTCAACAGGTATCAGAGATTGATTAATAACATTGTGCGAACCAGGCTGTAAATGTTCTCTCACTGGCCACTCACGTCTTGTGAAGTGCTGGTTTGCAGCCCTGCTATCCCATAAACAAAGAAAACACGAGTACTTTGTGTATCCTCCTTGCAGACCGAGAAGAAATGCTAGCATCTTAAAGTCTCCACATACATCCCACTTGTAACTGTCGTAGTTGATTTTCTCAAGCAACAACTTCACGTTCATATAGTCTTCCTTTAGATGAACGGAATGAGCTACTGGAATCGAAGGAAATCGGTTTCCGTTATGGAGCAAAACTGCCTTTAGACTTCTTGTTGAGCTGTCAATGAATAATTTCCACTCTTCAGGATTGTGAACAATGCCAATGTCATTGAAAAGACCACGAACGTCATGACAATAGCACAGTGATTCTGATACTACATAAAAGTATGCGAATGTTTCATGTCTTTTTCGGTATTTCGAGGTTCTGCAGCTTGGATCTAATAAATTCCATTCTTTCAAACGTGATGTCAGAAGTTCTGCATTTGATTTAGTGAGACCTAAATCTCGTACTAAGTCATCAAGTTCTTGTTGGTTAGGGAAATGAGGTGAATCATTTGGTTCCCTGAAATCACAGTCATCATTGAGTTCATCCGGTGAGTCTACTTCAGAATGATATGCAGCTGCTTCTTCGGATTGAGGTGGAGTAGGAACAGGCAATTCATCACTGTGTGGAACTGGTCCAATAGAAGATGGTATACTTGGATAAACTAGAGTCAGCCTATCTTTCGGTTTTTTATACTTTGAAATGTCAACAATGCAGAAAAAGCAGTCATCATGATGGTTCGTCGGTTCTCTCCATATTCTCGGAATCGCAAAGGGCATTGACTTTCGGATTCCACGCAGCCATCCTTCCAGAGTTGATCTGCAGCTACCACAACTGTAGTGTGGTGCCCACGATTTGTCCTGATCTCCCATAGCCATGCCAAAATAAGCATGATATGCAGTAAAGAATTTTGTACCACTGACAATCTTATGTTTAGCTTGTGTTGGACTAATATAGTAACCACAAACATAACAGAATGAGTCAGGACAAAGCTTGCAGGATCTACTAGACATATTTACTACTTCATGTAACAGTTGTAATTAGTTAAACTGAAAATAAACACACGAATATAGTTAAAATCAGCATATATATATAATGTTTTAATTGCATTACACATATACGAAAACTCCGAAATATACTTTATGCTTTTTCTCAGGAAATCTTGATGATAGAGAAAAACCAATGGTACCACTGAAATCAGCATACAAAAATTATGTAAGAAACATTAAAAAATTAACATAAACAAAAATGTTGTTACATGGTGTTATATACTATATATTCTTTAATAATTTTGTAAAAAATTATAAATTGTAACACGGTGCTCGGTGATAATGCAAATTAATGCCTTCTTCTTGCTCCGGCCATTAACTTAATTGTAAATTTATGTAAACTGTAGTACATATTCAAGGGAAAATATAATGTTAAAATATATATATATATATATATATATATATATATATATATATATATATATATATATATATATATATATATTTATTTATTTATTTATTTATTTATTTGTATATATATATATATATATAGTGGTCAAAATGCAATATTTCTATCAATTTTCACAAAAAAATAAGAGAATTCCAATCAAGAAAGTGCATATAATTAAGAAAAATTATCAAGAAACAATCAGAACAAATCATATTATTAAGTTATGATGTTCATTTCACCTAAAAAGCGTACTTATTTAAAATCTTTTTTCAAATTTGAACGAGCGATCGTGATTTTAAGAAGAATATTTTTTTAAAAGGAATCTTCGGTCTGAGTTTTTTCGCTATAAACATATTTATGATACCGCAAAATTTGTAATTTTAAATTTTTTCGTCTTTTCATAATTCACACACCTGATTATTTAACGGAAATATGTCGTAGTCAACAAAAAATCATACAGACGCTATAATATTTTAAAATTGCTTTAACTACACCAAGTACAACAAATTGATAAAGGCGAGCTCGACTAAAACAGTAAAGTTAGTTTTTTTTGCTATTCATTTATTCTTTTGTTTTCATTTAAAAAATATAGCCCAAATATTTTTTTAATCATTCTTTTTAATTTGAACACGCATATCTTGAAGGTTTGGGATCTCTTAAAGTTCCTCATTTTAATATCAAAGAGTAGGTTATATAATAAAGTTAAATAAATAAAGATTATATAATCTCAATTGAAAAAATAAATAAAAATTAAACTTTGATAAAGCAAACATAAGGTTATTATGCAAATGATTGTTTTAGGAAATAAACAATAAGGATTAACAATCTTCAGATTTCATTAAGTTACATTTGTACGAGTTATACAAAATATTGTCGCAAGACCTGCAATATTTCGCAAGACCTGCAATACTTCGCAAGACCTGCAATATTGTCGCAAGACCTGCAATATTTCGGCCTACAATATTTAGTATAACGCGTATATATGTAACTTGATGTGATCTAAACGTGAAAAAAATTGTGTATCCTAATCATTTATTTTCTAAACTAACTTTTTACATAACAATCATTTTTTGAAAATAATTTTCTAAAGCTAAAGCGCCTCGTTTCTCAAAAAAAAAGAAGAATAAAAATGAGTTTTTATTTCTGCTTTCACGCTTTTAATCTACGATGGAGACTTTAACGCTTTTAAGTTTAACGTAATAAGTTTACAAATAATAAGAAAAAAAAAATTATTCTTTTAAGAAATATTGCTAAACCGTTTTATATTCCTTTAAAACTAAATTTAAATTTTTAATTTTTAAAATGACATTTAATTTACAGTTTTTTAAATTAAAAAAAACAATTTAACAAAATGCGATTAAGTATAGTCACGACTTAAAGTTATATAAATAAACGCCAGTATAAACAATATCAAAAACGATTTAAATTTTCCAACAGAGAAATGTTTTTGCTTGACGTGAATTGGTGAACGCAAATGTGAAGTAAGTAAATGCGCTGTGTAAGAAAATGTGAAGTAAGTAAAATGCGCCTGCGTTTCTTAGCAAGGCCTAAATCGTTATGATATTTTTTAATATTTTTTGATTAATGAAGTTTAAGAATATGTATAGGATATTTAAGTGTACGCTGTACGAGAATTTTATATGCATATGTAAGATAATTAGGTATAGGTAAACCTATACAACATTTAAGTATACGTTTAGGATATTTAAGTTTACGTATACGATACTTAAATATGCGCTGACATATTAAGATCAGCGTTACAGTTAAATTAAAGCTTTAAAAAAAAGTATAACAAACCATGGAAGTATAAAACAGATGGAAGTTCAACCGCATTGAAATTCTTCGGGACTATGCTTGTAACCTTTTGTTTCGTAAACAATAAGAAAACGGCATCAAGACTGTACTTAAACGCTTAATCTTTATACGTTAACGCAAATTTATAATAGTTTAAAAATATAGTGTTTTGAAGGTTCGCCAATAATATTCAAGAAAAACATTAAAAATGGCGTAACGTAACGGCAAACAACAATTTTAATATAAACTTTATATTAAATGAATGGAGTACTACAAGAATGAATGGAGTTATGATACACATCTAATAAAACTTTAAACTTAAGTTATTTAAAAAACAATTTTTTTGATTTTTTAAAAATTGTTTTAGTTGTCTTTTTTATCAAATGTCGTGTTATGACTTGAAGCAAGAAAAGAAGCTTAAACTAACATATGCTTTTAAAATCAAGTGGTTCTATTTAATTACCGAGTTTTAATAAACCTTTTGTTGAATAATTGCAATTACTAATGGTTAAAAATTTGCAGCATATCCCTAGAATGATTCATTTTTTAATGTTTTAATAAAGATCATTTCAGTGAATTTTGTTGTTTTTTTATCCAGTGAAACTTGTTTTTTTTTTATTGTCGGTTACAAGCATACTCCCGAGACGACTTGAAATTGCTTTGATGTTTGCGGCTCGATGAACTTCCATCTGTTTTATACTTCCATGAACAAACTAACTATAAATAAATTTTTATTTATAGGCTCCTTAAATACTCACAATGAACTCAAGCAAATTAATCCGCGCAGCTTTGGGTAATGTAGCTGCCCTTGGCGAACTATATGATGCAAGGACAGATAACTTTCTTAACCTTTCAATCTTTAACAAAAAAATTCCAGAGGAAGCTATAAACTTAACTGATAACCATTTTTCAGACATCCATCTAATTCATTCGGATAGCTACTCAGAGAAATTTTCTAAACTGGATGTCAAAGGCGAACTGCAAGTTAGTGTTCTTGCAGGGCTTTTTAACCCTGAAGGTTCAGGTCGTTATTTAAGTGACATTAAAACATCTGCTAAAGCAATTAAAAGTTCTCTTTTATACAACATCAAAACAATGGATGAAGTTTTGAACATTTACCACCAAGATTTAAAGAACATTTTTGCTCTGGAAGCAATTGAAACTGGATTAGCAACGCATGTTGTAATTGGAATTTCATGGGGGGCTAATTCCATTTTGTCATGCGAATATTTGAACACTGAAAGCCGAGATGTGACTGAGGTTGAAGGAAGTTTGTCAGCTCAACTCAAAAAAATTGGCTCATTAATATCAGGCAAAGTCTGAGTGTAAAAAAAAAAAAGGAGGAGAACAATAATGATCTCCATTTTGAGATCCACATCTATGGTCATACTTCCGAACACATCTATGGTCATACTTCCGAACACATCTATGGTGACATACTTCCGAACAATGAGGATTTACCAACAACTTTTGAAGGAGCTCTGAACCTCATGAAACAGATGCCAAGCCTTATAGACAAATCTAACAAAGGGCGTGGAAAGCCATTAACCTATAACTTACTTCCACTATCTGTCTTACAAGATTACCTCAATTTCTCATTGAAAGCCAACGGTATGATTAAATCTCTTGAAAAAGATAGTCTGCTAAGAGTTGTTCATATCTTCGAAAACATTATTATTAGCCCAACAGGAAATACACGACTTTTACCAAAACAGCATAGCCCACAATTTTTGTGTAAAGAAAGAAGACATTGAGAAGATTGCCAAAGTTAAAGAAGGTTTTGACATTCAAGAAAGCAAATTTCGTTCTGATCTAAGTTTAGCATTGACTGTTCTTAGATCTGGACAAGGAGAGTCATCGGATGTTGAAGATCTTTTAGCAGGCTTTAAATCCGGAGATTTCTCGCCTGACAAGGTTTCTGCAAAACTTAAAAATTTGAATCACATTTTAGAAAAAACTTCATTGGCAGATTCTCTGATATCCAGTGGAGCAAAATATTTAGGCTGTGACAGTTCTTTTGACAATGTGATTTATGACAATCACAAAAAAAAAATTTACATTCTGTATTTTGATGAAAACTCAAAAACATCTCATGTAGAAACATGGAGGAGAAATATACAACTTTTCTATCAAGAGATGAAAAATAATAAAGACGGGGATATATTTTTGGCAGTCGACTGTGATATACATCCGAATTTATTTCCTAAAATAGGGGTGTCAATTCAAGTTCTTCAAAGTGGTTGTGTTATTATAGAAAACATGTTAAATGATCATGAATCAACGGTAAATACCGCACATGCAAAATGCACTACAAACATGAAACGCATCATATCAAAACCAAATAATCGAGTTCATCTAATAATGCCATGCACTGGAAAAAAATGCAAATCCGATGTTGCGTATGAATGGATGTGTCCCAAATGTGGAAAACAAATTGAATATGGGTTTGATGATCAGCTATACTGCTCATGTGGCTATGGTGATGCTAGTTCTTACGAGTTTAAGTGCACTGACAAACAACATGGAATTGAATATGATTGCCATGAAGATAAAGTATACTTTAAGACCCTTCTCTCTAAACTCAGACCCGACAAAGAAATTAACATTTTAATCCTAGGGGAAACAGGAGTTGGAAAGTCTACTTGGATTAATGGATTTCAAAACTATTTAAAATTCTCCAGCCTTAAAGAAGCAGAAAAAAGTGAACTTGATTGTTTAATTCCTTCACAGTTCACTTTATGTGATGAAAACTACGATGATATAACTGTATCTACAGGAACAGATAAAAATGAAATTCAGGTCATAGGGCATTCATCCACACAAAAGAGCAAAGTTTACTCATTTGTAATTGGAGATACTAAAATAAGACTGATTGATACACCTGGAGTTGGTGATACTAGAGGAATCGACCAAGACAAGGTCAATTTCAAAAACATTCTTTCAACTTTGTCTTATCTAGATGAGCTGCACGGAATTTGTATTTTGTTGAAACCAAATAACTCAAGATTAAATATTATGTTTGAGTTCTGCATCAAAGAACTACTAACCTATCTGCATAAGGATGCATGCAAAAATATTATGTTTTGCTTTACAAACTCTCGTGGAACATTTTACCGACCTGGAGATACAATGCCTTTATTAAAAAAACTCCTTACATCAAATAAAAATTTTACAATCCCAATATCCAGCAACACTGTGTATTGCTTTGACAGTGAAGCTTTCCGGTTTCTAGCAGCTGTCAAGAATAAAATAAAACCAATAATGTTTTCAGATGAAGAGCATGAAAACTTTGCTAAAAGTTGGAAAAAGTCTATTACTGAGACTAAAAGGATGCTACAGCATATATCTCAATTAATGCCTCATCCGATACAAAGTACCCTCAGTCTCAATAATGCTCGAGATCTTATTCAGAAACTTACACGCCCAATGGCTGAAATAAGTAAAAACATACAAATTAACAAAGAAGTTTTAAAAGATAACATCAAAGAAATTCAACAGACAAAGGCAACCATTGAAAATCTTGAAAAGAAAAAAACATTTAAAAAACTAGAGTTGGAGGTCATTAAGATTGATTTACCAAAAACAGTGTGTACAAATACTGCATGCAAAAAAATATTTGGGCAAGGTAACTTCATGAGAGTTAATTACACAACTGTTTGTCATAATCCATGTTCACTTGATGATGTTAATCACGACACAGTTGGGGATGAGAGGCTTTTGGGATGCACGTGTATTCGTCGTGGTATATGTATTCATTGTGGCCACAGCTACAAAGAGCACATGCATATTTACTACGAGTCTAAAGAAGTTGAAAAAGATGTAGAAGACACGGCAGTCGTTGAAATTCTAAAAAGCACATTATCAGAAGCAGAAAAAAAAGAAAAGTTGATTCGTTTCAAAGAAGATGAAATTATAGAACTTGATAAAGAGTTACAAACTATTGAGAATATCAGTGTAAAATTTGCATATTTTCTAAAGCACAACGCCATCACCCCATACAATGATGCAATGATGAGTTACTTGAATCATTTGATTCGAGAAGAAAAACATAAAGTTGCAAATGGAGGAAATGATGAAACATTAAAATCATTAGAGACCCATCTGCAGTCTTATAAACATCAGATTGAAATCTTGAGCGAACAAATGGAGAAAAGTAATGCTAATGGCGTAATTACAATTCCTGAAATATCTCCCTTGGTGAGTTGCCTGTACAAGTTAAACTATTCTGGAAAACATCTTCAAAATTCATTAGATCTAGAAAGAAATAATCATAAAATATTAGCTATATATCAAGAAGTACCAGGTGCAAATAATGTAAAAAAAAATAAAATTCAGTTCAATAAGTTTTCTGATTGGTTGCTTAGTTAAAAAGTCATATTTGCTAAACAAGATTTCAATTAAAAATTAAAAAGTATTTTTTTACATATTATAAATATGTTTTGGTTGGAAGTAATATTTATATTTATTATGATTTGTTATTCAGATTGAATTTTTGATTTTAAGTTTAATATAAACTATTATTTTAACAATTTATTTACGAAACAACTGCAAAGTTTTAATAATGGGGCATTGTTTAACTTTTTTAAAATTATTCTCACATATTTTTTGTATTATGTTTTTTTCTGATATTTTTGTAAATAAAATTACGACAATAAACACTTACACATTTTCTTAAATTTATAATGTATTTTATTTTATCATTATTTTTTTGAAATTATTATCCTCTAATGTTTGTATAATATTTTTGATATATTTTTTTTTTTTTTACAAAACCCCAAGTTTTTTTACACGTAATGCCAAGCATTTTTATATATTGTTTATAAACTGTTGATTGAGTTTTCTTTATTAAACTTCTAAATGCCTAACAAAAATCTTTAACTATAACATATTCTAGAGAAAAATGAAAAAATTTTGAAAATATTTTTGGATCAATGACAAATGAATGGATTAGTTAGACGTTAAATAACTAAATTCAATTTCTTTTTTCTTAATTAACATGATTTTTTTAATATTGTAAAGTATAATACATTTTTAGTAAGTGTTCAACATAATTTTTATTTTAAATGGTAGTAAATTTAGTTACTTAACTAGGGATGTACCGAAGCTAAGATTTTGCCTAAGCCGAAGCCTCGGCCGAAGTCACTCTGCCGAAGCTTTTGCACTTACCTAGATAAATTTTCTATCTTGCAGATCTAGCTATCTAGTGATAATACCATTTGCTGAAAAAAAATTTATAACATTTTACTACAGCTTTTATATGTACTGCATATTGTAAAATATATGTACTGCAATCAAAAGTATTTTAGCGCACAAGGTATTTTACTATAACAAATCATCAAAGTTTTTTTGTTTAATTACGCAATGTAATAGGATTTTAGGATGTAGCAATGCCTTGCTTGAACAAATTTAATGTTACTTATAAATAAAGATGATTAGCTAACTAGTTATTACTAATTACAAATTAGAAATTGAATTAGGGTGTGAATTATAAAACTAATTTAGCTTCTTGTCAACTTATTCAAGTCTAAACTTTAAAGTTATATTATAAACAATGTTTAGTTTACATTAGTTTGTACTTTGGATTATAATATAATTACCATTTAGAAATTACAATAATAAACGAGGGAAGTTGTTTTTATTATACTTATTAGCTTATTACGTTTAAATTAATTATCCATTAGAAATCAGCCAAACTATAGTTTAAAAATGTATTCTGTTCTCCATGCTCAGGCAAGAGCCTATTTCTTTTGGCTTAAAATATGTTTCCTGTTGTGCTGAAAAGAGGTTCACTCCTAAAAGATGAAGGACCCCAGCTAACACAATGAAAATTTTGTGCGCACCTCCCAGCTAGTACAAAACGTTCTACGAACGCTGTGAACATTCAAACACGTTCTATGAACGTTCTTGAACGTTCGCAACGTTCGAACGTTCAAGAAACAGCCAGCCTAACTGGGAGGTGCGCACAAAATTTTTATTGAGAATATTACCAAATCCAACTTTTTAGTGTCTTTATCGGAGCAGGTGTAATTGTAAACACCCCACCACTTATAAAGGCATTTATTTTTTGGTAATGTTGGTAGGCTAAAGTTGAAGTTGACTTCGTCCATGTTGAATCAAAACTATGAATCAATTTAAAGTTTAAACTGATTTTTTAAATCTTTAATCAAGTAAGGAAAAAAGAATACTAATAATCAACTTAAAAATAAACATTTATAGTTGATTAATAATTATGTTTTGAATGGAAAATTAAAAATATTAAATGCAAACAGACCCATGACTACAGGAAGATACGGCCTGCCTGCATATAGTTTGTGCCTGCTAGCAGTAATCTTTCCATTATAAAAATAT